ATTCCATGCTGTCTTTAAGCAAAAGTGTGAACTGGGCAGAACAGTCTTCCTTCTGAACTCCTCCTGAGTCGGAGTCATACAGAACCCAGTGGTTTCCAGAAGGCTCTGGTGCTGGTGCCATGGACCTGGGGTTGGAGTCGACATCACTTCAAGTCTGATCTTTCACTGGCAATTAGACCTTCAGAGAGTTCCAAGGACTGGCAGGAGGCAGGCCATCGCTGTCCCCAAGAGCAGTTTGCTCAGTGTTGCACCTTGTGGCCAGGGATGTCATACAATGACACCGTTTTGGAATTTCTGGTGATGACCACAGTCTCCCATGGTTTGTCAACCAGGTCAAGAAGTAGCCACCTACTGCATGCCCAGTATTGAACCAGAGTTCAGTTCTGTTCCAGCGCTGCAGGAGGATCGGGAGAAGGGCCCTCTGCTTCCACGCAGAGGGAGGCCTTCCGGCAGCTTCTCTTGGTCCTCCATCCCAAGTGCCGAGGCCGGCGGGTGTCCTCACATCCACACTTTCAGGGAGCAGGGTGGCCGTCCCTGCTGTTGAGAGGCTGCTGGCCTTACGCCACTTACCTGCAGTGTCCTTAGCACAAGAGGGCCTGTTGCCAGGGTTGGGGACCTGAGGTGCCTTGAGCCCACAGGTCCTCACACCCACACCACTCCCCTGCCTATTCCTCCCCCTCCTTGACAGGCCGGTCTTGTTTCCACAGAGCAGCCTCTACAGCGAGGACGGCATGGGGGTGGCGACGCTCGGCACGCTCTACGGCGCTGTCCTCCTGTCCTCCATGTTCCTTCCACCCATCCTCATCAAGAGATGTGGCTGCAAGTGGACCATTGTTGGCTCCATGTGCTGCTACGTGGCCTTCTCCCTGGGCAACTTCTACGCCAGCTGGTACCCGCCCTCCCGCCCACCCACCTCCTGGTTTGCAGGACTCTGGTGGCACCTGACTGCTCTCCTCTGTGCTGGGCCCTTCAGTTTCTGCGGGAGGCTGACTGGCAGCCTCTCCCCACTTTCCCACCAGGACTTCCCTGCCTTCCCGATGGCTCCCTCTCTTCCTCCTGACCTCCAGTGCTGACCTCTTCCTGGGATCTGTCCGCGGCCCTCAGCTTCCCTTGCACCCCACGGGCTCCATGGCCCCAGTAATGGCAGGAAGAACCTAATTCAGTTGAGGAGGGTGAATCTCGGGAGGCGTGGCCAGGATCAAGGGCAGGGATGCAGGCCACCCATTGCCCTTTCTTGCAGGTTCACCTTGATCCCCACCTCCATCTTGCTGGGGCTGGGAGCGGCCCCCCTGTGGTCTGCTCAGTGCACCTACCTCACAGTCCTGGGGAACACGCATGCACAGGAAGTGGGCGAGCTCGGCGAGGACGTGGTGAACCAGTACTTCGGCATCTTCTTCCTCATCTTCCAGTCCTCTGGTGTGTGGGGCAACTTGATCTCCTCTCTGGTGTTTGGGCAGACTCCCACTCAAGGTAAGGGAAGAACAGGGTGTCCCTGGTGACCTCCAAGAGGGGAGGGCAGACAGCACGTAGGCACTTGCCCTTCTTCCCAGAGGAGGCCCTCAGCTGGCCTCAGCTGCAGAGTCATGTGTGGACCCTGCTCCTCCAAGGACAGTCAGGGTCTGAAGATCCATCTCCACACGTTGCCCCCTCCCAGGGAGCAAGGGTGCATGGAGTCATGGCTTCCTTTGGGGGCAAAGAACAGGTTTGCCCGACTATTTCCTATGGAATTAATCCATGGGCAGCTTTTTAAAGTTCTGTGGTCAGTCCTTCCTGTAACGAGAGGTGCACTCATGGCGGAGCCCTCCGTCACCTGCCTTAAGTGTCCCTTGCCCGGCCGTGATGTGGAACGTGACTGGCACACCACCGTGGGGAGGATCTCAGTCTGGCCAGAGGAGCTGGGCAGGAGCCGGCCCTGGGGGAAAGGCTCTGGCCTCTTGCTGCTGTCAGGTTGACCCTGTCCTGCAGCCTGGCCCAGCTCCTGCTCTGCCAGGTAGAGCCCAGCTTTGGGAAGCTGTAGCCAAACCTCCTGCTCTTTCCAGAGCGCCATCATCCCTGGCTGCTGGCATCCCCACAGGGAAACCACAGGGGCTTCCGTTCTTGCTGTCCCCCGGCAGGGAGGGCTACGTCTGGGCCCTGGTGAGTGCAGCAGCAGGCTCACCGGACATTCAGGCCAGGGAGCTGAGGGCAGGAACCCAGGGCACACATCCTCAGGGCCAGCAGGGTTTCCGCACCCACCGCCTGGTGGCCTCGGCTCTCACGGCCTTCCGTCCCTGTGCTGCACGTCTCGCCAGCCCAGACAGTGCTGCGAGGTCACTGTCACGAGGCCACGGAGACCACTGGACACAGACGGCAGTGCATTAGGAGAGGGCACGAAAAGTAGCCAGGCCCATGCTGCGTGTGCTCTTCCCTGCTCTTGGCAGAAAGCGTACTTGATCCTCTCCCTCCCTGAGGACGAGGGGTCTTGAGATCAAGATGTGCCTGAGGGTGAACATGCCCTGGTCCTTGTCAAACACAGCCGGGTCCTTCCACATCCTGCCTCAGAGGCTCCACCACCCTGCCCCCTGTTCCCACTCCGACGCCCAGGACTCTCTATCACCAGGACCCTCATAGGCTGTTTGCTCCTGACCCCACAGAGGCCACCCCAGAGGAGCACCCTGAGTCCTGTGGGGCCAACGACTGCCTGATGGCCACAGCACCCACCAACAGCACCCACCGCCCCTCCCAGGAGCTGATCTACACACTTCTGGGCATCTACACCGGTACGTGTCCTTAGCCCAAGAGAGTGCCACGAAGGCCAAGCCCAGCCTCTTCCTGGGTTGAAGAGCACCATCCCAGCTCCTAAGTGGTCTCTTTCCGTCCAGCACCCTTGCCCTGTGTGGTCTGGAGGTCTTCAGGGGCTTCTCTTTGGAAAGCAGGCCTGTGGGCCAGGGCTACCCTGCAGGAGCCTGTGACACTCAAATCTCTTCTCATCCCCAGAGCCCCATGCACTGTCCGTCAGCCACATTCCAACCAATGGAATCCCAAAGTCTGTCTCTAAGGCTCCCTAGCCACACTTGGCAAGCTCCCTGGCCACAGCTAGCTCACTAGGCGAGCAGCTACCACAGACCCCATCCAGGGGACCAAGGCATTGAGGAACAACTCCATCTAGGTGACCCTGAAAGGCCAGGAAGGGGTGAGGGAGGTGTGACTGGGGGGCACTGTGGGCTGTGTGAGACAGGTGGTCAGACTGGTCAAGGCTACTGTGAAAGACCCAAGGACAAGGGCAGATCTGTTTCCTGGGCAGATTCTCATATCCACCTGATGGGGGTGCAGGAAAGCTGGGTGGTGACCGGCCAGCAGGGAGCCACAACCCAGAGGGGCAGCAAGGGCACAGGCAGCATCTGGACAGTGAAGACAAGACGAGTGGATGTGTGTGAAGACACAGGTGTGGGGACAAGTGGCTGAGGTCGACCAGCCTGGAGGCACTTGGCTTGACGAGGCAGGTGACCCTTCAGAGTGTACAGGGGACCAGATACAGGAGAGGGCCTCGGGGCATCTAGGGGCCAAGTTTGAAATCTCAGGAGGAGATGAGTTTTTAGGGAGGAAGCAGCAGGAAGGACTTCAGGGAGGACGGTCCACCGCCTGGGCGACTCAGTGCTCACAGGCTGGCCAGGGCATGGGAGCCCCTGCAGAAGACGGAAAAGCCAACGGGGAGTCAGAGCACACACGAGAGAAGCAGCAGCAGGGAGTGGGTGTGAGAGGGTCAGAGGGACCAAGGGCCTGGAGGTTCAGGAGCACGGCTGGACAGCAGAGACTGGTGACCCTCCAAGTTGCTGGTGTCTGAGGCCAGATGAGTGGCTGGGAAGGAGAGTGGAGGGTGTGGAGGGAGTCGGCGAGGAGCGGGCTGTGGCCTGCGCTTTCCAGTGGGTTCCCAGGTTCTGTGGGTCTGGTGCTGGGGACAGGGGCAGAGGTCAGCCAGGCCTGCGCTTTCCGCTTTCCCCGCATTTCCTTCCCTGTCCCCCATGGGAGCAGGCAGGCCCAGCTCACGGCAGCGTCCAGGCTGAGCTGAGATCACGTCCCTGCTCTGCGCTCTCTAGTTGGACAACCAAGAGCAGAGACTCCCCTCCCCATGGCTCCAGGACTCCAGACCTGGGGTGAGCACCCTGAGAGATGGATCTGGGAGTGGACGTTAGGCTCCTGGCATCCCCTAGTCTCAAGAAACTGCTCATACTGTCTTCACCCGGGGAAGGCCAGAGACGCGGGTCAGTCAATGGTAACGCAGTGTTCACGGCAGCAGGTGGTAGCAGGATGTGGCCACAGGCCGAGTGCTGACCCAGATCTAGAGGAGTGGCACAGACCACAGGAGAGCCCCTCGGCACGTCGGTGGCTCGCAGGCCCTCCTTCCCTCCTGCCCTGCACGGGTGGCACCCTCAGGCTATCCTTCAAGTCCTCCTTTGCCTTAGCCCCAGGTGCTGCTCATTAGATACTTGGTACCTGCAGAACACAGTGACTTGGGTGAGTGACCTCAGGCTCTCTGAGCATTGTACTCATGAAGAAGTTTCTTGCAGACAGTTTCTTTAGGGGCGAGAGCGTTACCTGCCCAACATCCCCCACCACCTTGAGGGAACTGGGTCACATGGTGTCTGCACACACCTGGCTCCTAACAAAGGGTGGGTGGCTTCTGTATGCTGACCTGCCTCTCCCAAGCTCCCTGTCTCCGCGGAGGAGAGGAAACCATGATTTCCACCTGATTCACACACAACCAGACAACAGGCTTCCTCTGGAGGGGCCTGTTCAGCTAGGGATGCCAGGGAGCTCCTGTGCCCCACAACCAGCTGTCAGCTGGGCGAGTGATGAAGGGCCCTGACCTGACTGGTGAGGGCTGGTCGGCTGGCAGCGCTCGGCGAGCCTCCCCAGTGCCCCTTTATCATGAAAGGGGAGGGGTGGCGAGGTCAGTGAGACAGAGATCAAATCATTCACACCATCTTCAAGGAGGGCAGGTCTGAGATACTCGCGGGGGAAGGAGTCCTTGAAAAGCGTTCCGAGGGCCAGCGGTGCCAGGAGGCAGGGAAAGACCAGACTCCCCCCATCTAGCCTGGGCCACCCACACGGGGTCATCCCTGTTGCCAGAAAGCCGAGAACTGGCTGGGAGTGAAAGGGACTCTGGAGAGACACCACCTGCAGCAGCTTGGGCCCACCCAGAGCAGGGCTGAGGCACGTACAGGAGGGCGGGCCAGGGGCGGGCGGCGAGGAGGGGACTCGCTGGCTCCTCAGGCCCGGCACCTGGGGGTCCAGGATGCTCCCTCGGAGCGGATCCCATCACTGTTAGAAACAGCGGTTTACCCAGCAGCCCGTTGACGTGGTTCAGATAAAAGGCTGTGCAGCCCCTCAGCACCGTCCCTCAGCCCCAGTCTGCTTCTCTCCAGTCCTTCAGGGCACATAGGGACTAAATCCTCATGTCCCCCTTGCTGAGCACGGGTGGCGCATGGTCAGCACCTGGCTCAGCACTTGCTTTGTCTCTTCTTTACTGATCTTGGTGGCCTCTTCCACCTGGGTGATAGAGTTCTGTCTTTATCCCCTGCAGCGAACCGTGACCCACTGTGATGGCATCCACTCCATTTAACCAGTTCCCACCAAAGTATTTTAGGCAAAAGATTCAAAATAAACCGGAGTGTAGCACATGGTACCCTGATGGGACTTGTCTGCTGTCGGTAGACACTGCTGCAGGAATTCAGACAGACGGTGGCCGTGGCCCCTGAGTGCATCTGGGGTCTCTCCAGCTGTTGTGTCTCCTGTGCCCGTGAAGACAGTGCGGGTCCATGGCAGGTTCCCCGGGGAACCCTGGAGGCCCCACGTTGACCAGGAGCAACACGTGTGTCCATGTGGCTGGGCACGTGGGGTCCCGGCTTGGCTGAGGTCTGGTGTGTCTGACGGCACCTGCGTCTGGACCGGGAGAACCTGGGGGAAGGGAGGAAGTGGCTGGGTGGGTCCTGTCCACACTGAAGCTCCCTGCCCCTCTGCCCCTTTCAGCCATCGGCGTCCTGGCCATCCTGCTCACAGCCGTGTTTCTGGAAGCCACAGAGGACAGTGAATCCCAGAACGAGGCCGAGACGCAGCCACCACGCCTTGGGTCCACCTTACTGTCAACCTTCAAGCTCTTCAGGGACAAGCGCCTGTGCCTCCTGACCCTGCTGCCCATGTACAGTGGACTGCAGCAGGGGTTCCTCTCTGGAGAGTACACCAGGGTAGGCCCCGCAGCAGTCATGCCGTCACCGCCCGACTGGTGCCCCTGTCCTGTCTGCACCCGAAGGGACACAGGGTCCCAGGGCCACCTGCCCAGGCCCAGGGTGGGACTAGACCACAGAGGTCCTGGCCCTGGCAGGGCTGAGTGTGTGACTCAGGACACCAGCCCCAAGTACCTTCAGACCCACAGCCCTCTCAGGTCCTGGGTGGGAGCTGACATCCCTGTCCCCACCACACTCTGGGCATTATGTGACCTTGAGAGGGCCACAATCAAGGCTGGACTGGCCAGTCTGGGTCGCCTAGGCCTGCCCTCCAGGGCTTGGTCCTCCTGCCTCATTCCCACCTCCCCGCCTCCCTGGCAGAGCTGCCTACCGGCACCATGTGGGGCAGCTGCCCATTCAGACTGAATTTCAGATCAAGGACAAGCATCCTTGAGGCACGAGTGTGCCCGTGGACTGTCTGGTGTGGTGAATTGCGTGTGTCAGTGCTATACGGAGGGCAGTCTCCAGTGTGGAGGGAGGGTCTCGAAGGTTCCAAAGAGGCAAACAGGACGACCCAAAGTCCACTTGGCCTTTGGACACCCCAAAGCCATCAGGGCTGTCTGTGCCCCAGCCCAGGTGAGCAGTCTCCATGTGGGCTGTGGTCAGCCCGGCCCTTCTCCTGGGGGTCTGCCTTGGTCCTGCCCAGGATGGCAGTGTGTGCTGAGGGTGCCCAGGGACTTCCTGTGACTGGCAGGGCAGCGTCTCAGCTCCTGGCCTCTCCTGATAGACCCCCATTTTCAAGCCATCTTCTTCTGTCTTTAGGGCCAGTAGGAAGTGATGGGGTTGGTGGACGATTGTCCCTGCCAGTGCCGTGGGTCAATGCCTAGACGATGACACAGGGCACAGAATGCAGGGAGGACTCCACGAAGAAGTCTGTCCACTCGCTCTCTTTTCAGCTGTGACCCTGGGGGGGGATGTCCCTACAGTCATGAGTGTCGTCCCCCGTGCTGGGCCGGGAGAAAGGAGTGTGCCTGCTGTCCCAGGGCCAGTGGTTCTCAGCCGCACAGGGAGTTTGGGCTGGAGCCGCAGAGGAGCGCGGGCCCTGCTGACGGCCCCTGTGCTTCCTGCAGTCCTTTGTCACCTGCGTCCTGGGCATCCAGTTCGTGGGCTACGTGATGATCTGCTTCTCGGCGTCCACTGCGCTCTGCTCTCTGTTGTTTGGGAGGCTCTCCCACTACACGGGCAGGAGAGCCATCTACGTGCTGGGTAGGTGGCCCCCTCCCAGTTCGGCAGTAGAAGGGGGGGACAGCTCAGAGTGGGGGTGGGGACTGATGGCACAGGTGCCACCCAGTGGCTCACCCTCACGAGAAGCCCCTCTGCAGTCACTGAGTCTAAGTCCCCTCAGCTCAGGAGCCTCCTGAGGTCCAGAGAAGACGGCCCACAACCCCCCAGGCCGAGGCGGCTGCAGTCCAGGGGGGTCAGGTTCTCTGAGGCGGGTTTGGAGCCCAGAGGTCCACCCCGATCAGGTCGCACGATGCCCCAGCTTGCTCAATAGACCTGCGGTCCCCTCACACTGTGTGACGGCTAAGCAGGGGGCAGAGGAGGAAATGTGGCTCCTCTGCTGGGGTCTGAGTGCCCACGGCACTGCCTGTCCTGGTCCCTCCCTCTGTCCCAGGTGCAGCCACCCACCTCTCCTGCATCGTGGCCCTGCTGCTGTGGCGTCCACGCTCCTCCCAGATGGCAGTGTTCTTCCTGCTCCCCGGCCTGTGGGGCATGGGGGATGCTGTCTGGCAGACGCAGAACAATGGTGAGTGACCAGAGCCCAGCCCCTCGGCCCCCTTGCTCAGTCACTGCTCAGATGGCAGGGGAGTGGGCAGCTGCTGGTGTGGCCGCCAGACCCCAGCCAGCCCAAGGCTCCATCAGAGGCCAGGTGCTTGCATGGGGGAAGGGAGAGGGAGCCCGGCTGTGAGGGCTTCTCACCGAGCTCTGGGTCTGGGGTATGTTCTCTGAGCGTCTGTTCAGGTCCATCTGTGCAGGGTGAGGCCACCTTCATGGCCTAGTGGTCCCTGGGTGACCAGCAGCTGAGCACAGAGGGGGAGGAGGAGAGAGGCCTGCAGGGTTCAGAGAGTGGGCCAGATACAGGCAACAGATCACAGCATGGGTGACCTTGACCTGAGGGACACGGGAAATGGTGAGGCAGACACTGGTGGTCCCCCCCCTCCCCGGCACAGAGATGGGACAGGACCAGAATGCCAAGGAGAGGTGACAGGGTCCAGGTGCAGCCCCACAGAGCTGTCCCCAGGGACCCCTGATGTACTTGGAGGACTGGTGACTGGGAGGAAGTTGAACACCCATGATGATGGC